TCTGTAGAGTATCCTTACGGTAGCCAGCACTAAGGCCACATCACCATGAGGCCATCTGTTTTCAGAAGTTCCCTTGCCGGTGATTTCCAAGTGGTATCCACTGCTTATTTTCCTTGACTTCATTAATAAACAATTGAGATGAAGAAACAATTCCCTTGCTTTCCAGGTAAGCTAAGCAATTGGTCCTAATTACTGTCAGCCCTTAGTGAGTGACCACCACGGGGAGCCCAGCCATTTACCTCAGTGATAATCATGTGAATGGTGAGGTGGTAGTAATTTTCACACAGGCAGCTACGGGTTTTTGAGTTCTCTGACATGGACTTTTTCTCCCAATTGAAATTATACATACTGTGTGTATATATTCATACATATATATATTTTCACATATATTCTAAGTGAATTTTTTTCATTACAGTCTATTCTTTCCCACGGCACTGTGGCTGACTGTGCCGTTGTTGGCAAGGAGGATCCTTTAAAAGGTCATGTCCCGTTAGCACTCTGCGTGTTGAAAAAAGGTGAGCGATCTCTGGTCCTCCCTGTTTGGGCCCTGAATGATTCAGGTTAATTCAGAGCTTACCATCTGAACTTTCTCCCTAGATTTAAACACAACAGAGGAACAAGTTGTAGAAGAAATTGTGAAACACGTTAGACAGACCATTGGACCCGTGGCTGCTTTTCGAAAGGTGGTGTTTGTCAAACAGTTACCCAAAACCAGATCCGGCAAAATTCCCCGCTCAGCTCTGTCTGACCTTGTCAATGGCAAGCCCTATGAGGTAAATTATCAAGGATATTTAATGCTCGGTTCTGAAGTGTTTTCCCCTATTTCTTTGGCATCAACAAAGCTCTTAAAAATAGTTCTCAAGCATGGATTATATCCCTAACAAACACGTAATAGTACTTTTTTTTTAATGTTAAGGGGGAAATTGCATACCCATCCTCTGTGTAGGTATGAGGGTTTTGGAGAGAAACACAGATTAAGACTGTGTGCTTTAATGTTAAGAACCCTTTTGTGAAAATATATTACTATTAGTAAACATGTCAGTTAAATTCAAACAAACTTGTGGAAACTCAATCTTATTAAATTAAAGATAAATTTCCCTTCATTGCAGTCATTAGTGACTATTAGTGAGAAAGCAAAAAGTTGAGGCTGCTATAGATATTTTAAAGGTGGCAATGGATGTATATACTCATTATTTTTCTTGTTTTGAGTGAAAAGTATTTTAGGAAATTCAAGTATATGCATTCTTTCAATTTTGTGCACATTACATGGGCATAGATGTACATATTTTTATCATCAAGATCTAATAAACAGTGATGTAACAAACAGTAAAGAGTAGTTGTATGAGCAAATGCAAAAAAGAAAATTCTTTCGACAGAATCAGCATATTGAAGGACCCATAAGAGAAAGTACCACCTAGGACTAATAGTTTTGCTAACTGAACCATTTCTTTTCTATAGATACATTTTAAAATTTAAAGTTCAAAGTTCCCTATTTTTGAACATTTCTCGATGAGTGTAAGATATGGGGAAAACAAGATTGCACATAATTGTTTAATTGTATAGAAGAGTAGAAGGGGTTCAAGGAAGAGCCTTCATCTGACTCTTAATTTTCTTTCCAGGTGACTCCTACAATCGAAGACCCCAGCATTTTTGGGTACATAGAAGAAGTACTGAAGCAGGCATCATGACTTCTTTTGTTTTTTTCTTTTTTCTTGAGTCACTTTTCTAATTAGAGTCAAGTTTTTGGAATTATTTCCCAGAAATCATTATTTACATAGAAATTACTTGCAAACTGTGAATTGTAAAGCTTGGTCTAAGAAAAATCTACTTGAAGACTGGTAAGAGACCTGTGCCTTGTATTTGATTAGACCAATTAGCACCATTACCAGTTGCCGGTAACATGACTCATTACAGGTTTTCCAGCACTTCAGTTTAAGAAAGATATATCCAAGGTATGATTTTAAAAAACTGTATCCCCCCCAAAATATTTTAATTGAAAATGACACTAATATTGAGCTGCTTCCGGAAATTAGGACTCTGCATGCAGCTTTGACCAAAATCTAAAACTCAAGTTGAATCAATTTTCTTATAGAAATTCTAATAGTTTCTAATATTCTTGAGATGCCCACATGCATGGTTATTTAAATGAAATGAATGAAATGGGAAGTTTTAGCTAATCATCTAGACATGATTTCCTAGGTAGGAAAATCTATTTAGTCACACATTTCCTGAGGGAAGCCTGGGTACCAGAGTTCAGCCCTCTTTTGTCGTTTTGTTACTTATTCAGGGGAAATCAACTTGTCTGCAAGAGAGCCTAGAAGTCAGTTAATCCAATCTCGTCAGAGAGATGAGGGCTCTTTGGAGCCCCTCCCTTCTCAGGTTCTTAGTTGACTGTGTACTTCTTAATGATTCCAGCTTCTTTTGGAAAGGGAATGATGTAGAAATGGGTACACTGGCAAGGAAACCTCTAAAGAAAGAAATGTCAACATTTTTACATAATGCTAAAGACCAGGAAGTGTTTTAAGAGAAACCAAAAATCCAAATGTTATGTGAAATCTCTAATTTTTAAATAACTTGCTAAAAAAATTGTCCCATCCAAGCACATCTTTTCATGTAAACGTCTACGAAACTATTGAGCATTAAAAAATAATAACTGAAAATGAGTCTTTGTTAATGAGCTTATGGTAATGTGCCAATTAAAAGAGTAGATACAGATAATTATAAATTTGACTTACGTAAGGGTCTACATGATATCAGTTATCAAAGAATGCATTTAAACAAAAAATATACCATACTCACTGAGTCCTTGATGGTTCTCAAAGTAATCCTGTTTCAGTCCATCAGGAACATTATTTTTAAGAGCAACTCTCCTAATATAATAGTCTGGGTGCATGAAAGATGTATGAGACATAATAGGTAAGAGCTTATTTACTTGTTTGTTTCATAAAAATTGCTGACAACTTGTATAAAGCATTCTGAAAATGTTAGGTTCTTTTGAACTGTAGGCTATAAAATAACTGGCTTCTCAAATTACAATGTTATTTGCTTAAATTGACTTTTTGATTATTACACCTGAAAAATATATTCATCTAGTTGTTCCCTTTAATTATTTTAGTAGCCTGAGTTAGACCATTTAGATAGACTTTCAACTTGAAATTTGAAGCTGTGGCGTTCCTTAAACTCTCTCTTCTTTTCGGTACACTTTATCCATTATCGCATCTGTAATCTTAAGAAATAATAACATTTTTTAACGTCTTAGCATTAAACTGTATTACCTTATTTTTTCATTTAAAATTCAGTTAACTTGACATGGTAGATTCTTTAGCTGAATGTGTATCGTCGTTCATTTGCAAAGTATAAACTCAGGCAGATCCAAGAATTGTGTAAAGGTTTTTACCTCTTTGATCCTCTTGCACATTTTTCCTGGTAATCAAATCTGAAGGGACTCTTGAGCAAGCAGGCTTGAGTTATTTTCTAGCTGAGTAGGACTGGAAAACAGTGCACAAGCCTGGGGAAGTGGCGTTTTCCTGTATCTGGCTGAGGAAATCGATCTCCTTTGCAGGGTCAGAGAGAGTACTGTTACTCTCATAAGAGTAAATGTGGAGCAAGAAAGACACAGTCAAGTCATCAGATTGCTTAAATTTTTGAAGGAAAATAAAAAGAATTTTCTATTTTAATACTTACCATAAAACACTTTCACTTGGTAGTACTTAACATATTTTGAATTATATGTGTCTTTAAAAATAACAATGTTACTAAAATGTAATCATGCTACATTTGCTGAAATAAATTCTGCAAGTTCTTCTTACAGTATTTTCATAGAATGTTTTACTGTCAGATATTGGAAAAATTAAAATATAAATATTTTCAAATCTATAGAAAAGTGTTTGCCAATTAATTGAGTTGTATGGCTTGTGAAAATGCATTAAATATATACAAATGAGAACTGCTTTACATTTAAAAAGCAGTCTTATTTATAGAAAGTTATATTTGTAAAGTCTCTGATTTATAAAAATATGAAAATGCTTAAGGCTGACAGAGGGTCAAAAGGAAGAAAAACCAAGGTTCTAAGCTTAATCCATTAAATGGATATTAGAATGTGGCAGAAATGATGTTATACATTGAAAAATATTTTATGGTCTTTGAGGCAACTAGCTGGATCTTTTATATCCCTATGTGTTAGAGTCTAGTAGAAAAGATTACTATTTCTTACTAGGTGATCTCTAAAGGAGAAGCACTGTTTCTGCAATTAATTTGTGCATAACAGTAGATGTAAATCTATTTTATATTATGATGACACCATTGTTTTATTAATTTCATTTCTGTAAGTAAAGCTCTTTCCCATTGTTTCTAATCAGGCAACATTTTTAGAAACTTTAAAATCACTCTTATAAGCAAGTTTAGTGCTCCCTCTTGTGGCAGACTCACTTTCGAAGACAAATACTAGATTGAGAATCACTAAAGGCATGATTTTCATTACAGTTTAATTTTTAAACTGGATGTGACTAGAAAACAAAGCTTAAACAGAGAACTGTAAGTATCTTTTTTTTTATTGACAATGGAGAGGGTTTCTGTTACCATTACCTTTTGACTGAATCTGTTAAACAAAAATCGACATCAAAAACAAATGTAATGTACGTGCAAACATAGCAAATTAAATACAAAAAAGGAATTACTAGTGACAGGTCTTGCGCTTAATAAGATCAACCAGCAGAAAATCAGCAGTTAGATAAATGTTGTTATTAAATAGGTTTTACTTTGAAGTCTCCCATATAAACAAAGAATAAACAACAGTAACACCACCAAATAAAGCCACAGGGAAGAGATTACTCCTCTATACGTTTGTACATTATATATGTTGATCATTCTGTCTTTCTTCTATTTCCTCTGATAAGACTGACTTCAGGGAAGTCACAAGGCCTTCTCAGCTGAAAGCATATAACGTTAGACATGAGTCTGGCTAATGCCCTGTTACACTGACAAAAGGGAGGGTTTCTGGGTTTTTTTTTTTTCCAGTGGAAATGACCTCAGACTCTGCAGTGGTTGATATTCACTGAACAGTGCTGGCTGGCGGTTCAAGATGTTTGGATGGACATGTCGTTTTTAGTAAAGAAGTTTTTTTTTTCCTTTAGTCCACAGGTAACAAGAGAAGATAATATTTTTTCTTTATAAATTCTTTTTTAATAATTGCTTTTGACTTGTAAACAGTTTGGCTTTGTTCTGTATTGAAAAGGAGATCGAGCCATCACAGTGCTATTTCTGAAGATATAGGACATCCCTGATTGCCTTTAAAGGTCTATTTTTGGCTCCAGTTCCAGGTTAAATCATTCTTTTTTACATGATCAGAGGCAGGTTTTCAGCTTTAAGGATTGACAGACTTGAAGGAAAAACATGTGGAAGCAGAAGACATGCTTCCTGGAAACATCAATTTGACTGTTACAATTCAAAAACTGTAAAAATGGTGGAATGGTAAAATACAAACAGTACTTGGAACTGTCAAATGTTTGCACTCAAGACTTCATGAACTATATATTTTATTTCTTTAAAAAATCATATTTATATCCATTTACATAAGACTTACACATTTAAAAAGAAATACATACACAGTAATACATAAATGCCTAGTATATTACAGTAAAACATGTAAAACGCGTGGCTCCATTTCATAAAAGCATCTGTTGTACAGAATTTATGATGTGGATGGTGCTTATTATTCAAATGACTTAAGTATTTTCTTACAATTGTAGTAAACTAATCAAACTTAATATCTGACTCCCCCCCACCCCCAAATCACATTTTCAGCTTAAATGAACCATGAGTTGTGGTTATTTCCTTAGAATTCAGTCTTCACAAAGGTTTTCACTGCTTGTCTTCTTGGACGGTAGTGCACTTTAGGTAGAGTAGACTGAAAAGACGACATCTAAAATACGTAACGGACAGCATTAGTTGACTGAAAGGTTCAGACAGGAAAATCTCCCTCTGCTAGTCCTGGTGCACCTCCATGCATCCTGCCTACTTCTGTCCCAACAGACAATGAGGAGGAGATCATCTCGGGTCTAACCAATACTCTATGTAATTAACATTTGCTCTTCTCCAATTTTGTGCAGGCGAGCTTCATAGATAAGATTTGCTCAATTTTGTCAAGGAAAGTGTGGCAGAGATATAAACACAGATATTCACAGAAAATGTCAGCAGTCTTTCTGAAAAATGTCCAGCTTGCTGAAATGAGTTGAGTTGACCTATTCCATGGAATAGATTTGTATTCTAATTCATATATTTTAGAGCTCTTCAAGGGATACCTTTATTTAATTGTGACAAAAACGTAATGATAATCATAACATAAAGAATTTGGGTCAGTGATGTGGCGTCACTGATTCCTTCCAGTCATAATAAATACAATTAGGGAAAAATCACAATTAGTATCCTGATACAAGAGAAATCATAAATAATGTGTTCTGAATTATTTTAATTGAAAAAAGTGCTAGTGTTTCATCAAAATATAACTTTGTTGTCCCATATTAACTTACTGGAAATAAATACCTTTATCCCATTTAATGGTAAAAATTAGAAAATAGAAACTAGAATGCCATGCACAAAATACAGATTGCAAATAGTTAAAAGAGTCATTCTACCCATCAGTCAAGAGCTAAGAAGCAAGCACTACTCAAAATATTGAATAGTCATCTGTAACTTAGTGAAGTATTCAGTTCCTGGGAAATTATCATGTCATGTGTAGCAGCTATTACAAACAGTATTTTGGAAAGCCTCTTATTTAGCCAAATTATTACATACTTTTAGATTATGCCTAATGAGATGCCGAATCATATACCATAATTAAAATTTTAATTTTAGGGTTTTACATTCTGAGATGAAATCTCTTATCTGAAAGCTTTTTGTTTTATCAGCAGCAGCTTCATATAGTGACCCAAATAAGGCAGCATATCAGCTCCTGTATGAGGGTACAAAGACCATCCATAAACTCTGTGGAGCTTTTAGTTCAAGGCAATGAATAAACAGCACAAGATGAGCTGTTCCTCTCTCCATCCCTGTGCACACATTTGGTTTTAAATATTGCTCTAAAGAGTGTCTTTTTTTTCCAAAATATTAATTTGTCATAAATGTTAGAATATTTTGGTAAAGCACAGTCTTGGGTTAAAAAATTTTTTTATGAGTTCTTAACATTTATAATCGAGGAAAACAACAGTTTTACTAACACTGTTTTTCAACAAAACTCCATTTTCATATGGATTTGGAAGTAGATTCCATCAATTAATATTTTTCTAAATGCAAATGCCTTATATCTTATGATTATACAGCAAGGTTTTCTGTTAGTTCTGTCTGCCATTTTTATAAAGTAATTTCACTTTGTTCTTATGCCATAATACTTAGAATTCTTATTCATTTTCAACAAATATAAATCACATTGATGAAAAACAACATACTAATAGCTCAGACTTTTCAGTTATACTTTTGATTTTCATATGAAATCATTTCCAAATCATTTTCCTGTCTCTGCCACTATTTGACTCTATGTACCTGCTAGAATTCTGTCTGCCTATTTCAGCTTCCCCTACATAGAATACTCACCTAAAAGTGTATTACTCTGTAAGTGCCAAACTCTCATCAATAAAATGCTATGTGCATCGATATAAAATGCTACTAAAAAGTAGAGGCCAGTGTGGTAGCAGCCTGTTGACGTGTAATAAGATAGTGACAGGCCTCCAACAGACAGACCTTAAACCAGAGCAGACAGACGGTGATCGGTAATCCTAGATGAAGAGTTACAATATAGATTCCTTTCCACCCTCGAGCAATTCAAAGGGGTTATCTCACTCTGTACTGCTAGGCCATCCCAAAAAGTCTTGTGTATATTTACTAGTCTATGGAGGTTCCATTTTTTTTGGAGGTTTGTATTTTGTCAGCCAAGGAAAGCTACTCACAGCAAGTCAGTGCTGCCTCCTTTGAGTGCCTTGTCAACATGAGTATGTGCGAACAGTGGAGCTGTCTAACCTCTGCAGTCTTGATGAGGCAACTGCAAACGGAGAAAAGGGCTTTAGAGGGACTCGGATGATTGAGTACAAAATTTCAGATGAGAAAGATTTCTTTTTCCCTGCAGAAAGGGATCTAAACGTATTAAAAGACCTTCTTTCTCTCAGATAGAAGCCACTCGTCTTCCTTTTCTCTAGACCAAGTTACTAATGAAAATTTATTCCAATGTGATTCAACTGAGCTTTCAAGTTGTACATTCCTCCTTGGATGAAATCTGTAACAAGAACAGCTCCCCTGGGTGCTCTGTTTTTGAAGCAAAGATTGCTCTTCGAGAATTCGTTATGATGGATTTTTTTCCCCTCCAATATTGAAAAGCTACACTCATTTTAATCGTGTTGAACTCCTCATGAATTTTGCTAACGTGTTAATAATATTAACAAATTAGAAGAAATGTAGATCAAAAATCATGGTTTATATTGGAACCATGACAAGTATAAAGGCCATGACAATATCACCGTGAAAAGAAAGAATGATTCTAGGTGACTGTCTCAGTAAAGAGAGTGGGACTTTTTTGCTTAATGCCTACCAAACAGAAATAACTTAGTGACTGCCATCTCAAAGTTGTCTCTCCTCCAGAATGGCTGTTTTCCTTTGTGACATATATAACACAAGTCTAATGTCCACAGAAGGAAATACTAGTTGGAAATTACTGTTGGTTTTGTGTTTGTTTAGTTCTCTTCTCATAGTTGTGCTTGTTTATTTAAGGCCTTCTGCCTTGGTCAGAGGTGAAAATATCTGATGAGTCTGAGTTTCTAAGATGAAATATAGAACTTGCAATATTCAAACATGTAGGGTGGCAGTGGAGTTAATTTCCATTTACTAAGGACCTTTAGTCCAAATTCAACTTCTAAACAAATTATTTACTTGGCAAATAGAAGAGTAAAGAAACACAAATCATGCAGATGTTTATTTTTCTTCCTAGATGTGGACATTAGCCAAATTTGTCCTTTGGGGGGGTATTTTAAATTATTTTTTTAATGTGAATAAAGTGCCATGAGTTCATGCATTAGCAGTTTACAAAAGAGTATGGTCTAATGAAAGCAAAGTAAACTTCAAGCAGAGCAAACCAACTCAAGACAAGAATCAATTCCAGAAAGCTGTGCAAGATCAGAGAATGACAGCATTTGCTAAACAAGCTTTATACTTTATAAGCAGAAATGCAAAACTACTGTACCATCCGTTGTCATTTTCCTTGACTGCCCAGAAGTTGTGGTTAACCTAAATCCAGCTGGTAATGTTTCTGAGGACCCAGGCATCATGCTGATTCCATGTACTTCACGGGGAGGAAATTGCCTTCTCCAGGTCGACCCACGCCTGAAATTCTTGTCATCACTCTGCCAGTACAGAGTTATTATTTGATTCAATAAAAACAGGTAAACTAGCCCAGGAGCTTAAAACTGTGTGCTTAGAAACATGTAATATTGATTATTTGCATGCAGTCTGGAAGCTATACACATGAAATACTATGCTTTCTTTTGAGTTCTAGTGATTCCAAAATGAGAATGCAGGAGACTTGAATTATAAATGTTTTCATTAAAAACTCATAAGATTTCAAATCTAAGACATATATAAAAGTAAAATCTTTTAAAATCTAAAATAAAACCCTAGAGTTTTTTCAAAAAGAACATTAGACGTGCTTTGTTCCACTTAATGCCAACTGGTTTTATGGTAGGAGATGATATACTTATTTGAATAAATGTTGGGTAAACTCTATTTGACTTACACACTTAAATATTTCATGAAGTTTGCTTTTATGTATACAAAAGATATATGTTATGGGAAATCTATATTTGAGACAGCCTGGCTCAAATGGGATACTATATCTTATATTTGGTGTAAGAAACTTAATTTGTCATTTGTTAGATTTCAACTGATAACAGAATTAACTTGTAATTTTTTGAAAAATCTATGCAGGCTGGTCACCGTCCTTCTAATAAATACATGTGCCCATTAGATGCCACTAAAAGCATAGTTTAACTCTGGTTGCTGTTTTACAGTGTGATTCTGGTTGCTGATTTTATTATGTCTTAATGCTAAAAATTCTTCCCTCTCTGTGCATACACAAAGTACCTGCACAGAGGCAATTATTTTCTCTGGATTGGAAAGCAACAATATGTAATTTAGCATTTAACTGATATTATTCTCTGTATCTAATCTAAGGAAAATATTAATCATTCTATATAGATCTTCCCTTCTTACATCATATACTTACATACATACATACATACATACATAGATTTTACCTTCTTATACCAGTATCTCATAATAGGACTGTCAGTTCCCTAAAGGCACAGCTAAGTATGCGTGGTTGACCCTGCTAGCTCAGGTGACATCATTTTGGCATATGGACTATAGATATTCAGCCAACATTATCACTGTTATATATAAGTAACACTGTAAGGTATTCATCATCATAGGCTACTAATTTGATTAAGTAACAGGCAAGGTCAAGCTGGGAAAAATAAAATCATTAATGTGATTACATTTATCTACCAGTTTCTTTTAGTATCCTTATTATCAATCTACAAATTTTGTTTAGATGTGGTAGCCATTTTATAGTTTTGAGATTTCTGCTGCACCTCTTCTCAACTGCTGAGTTTTGCATTGCCCTGGACCTCTCACCTGGGTACAAATGGAAAAAGGGAGCAGAATTTCACAGCTGTGGCTTCCCTGACTTCTTTCATCTGGGAGAAGTTGCTGCATGAACATAAATATTCTTCAGTACTACAAAACACTACAGTACGTTGTAGAAATGTGTAACTCTCAGAATGTGTGAGTTAAGGGCTCCAAAAAATGCCAGTAATTTGAGAATTTAAATCGTGATTCCTTAACTTATGCTCTTTCAACATAATGTTGCAGCAAAAAGGAACAATAAGCAACAACATCACAGGAAAAGGTTTCGATGAGATGAGGTTAAAAGACACCCTTGCATCTAAGGATATCCTCTCAGATGAGTCTGCAGAAGCACCTGAGCACATCTCAAATTATTTCAGTGGAACCTGAATGTGATCAACCCCAGAAACAAGTCTCCTCTGGCTCTAGGCAAGATGTTTGGCTGTTTTTGTTCACACTCAAAAAGTAAAAGCAAAAACAATGCAACAAGCAAAAAACTAAGACAAAAGAGACTAGAGGTTTTGAATGATGAAATCATGTGCTGTTTCTAATTATAAGAAAAAGACAGAAAGTCACATTCTGTTTAGACCTTTCTGCTCGTTCATTACTTCCAGGAAGCAACACTGTAACCCACATGGACTTGCATCTCTACCCGGACCTCTACTTCAGGTCAGTCAGCATTTTAGAATGTAGCAATATGACAGATCTTTAATCATTTTTATTAAAATTCCTTTTCCAACTTTTAAGTTAGGAGAGTAATTGTATTTAAAAGTCTGTATGGGTTTATGCAGACTATCTTTTTGATTCAACAATTAAGAATAAGGATTCAAAAGATTATCAAACAAGATATAAAATTAAAATCAGTTAAACATTAATTTTAAAACATGAATCATTATCCTGATTGGACAGGAATAAGCATTTACAGGAAGTTAGCTGAGGTCAAGACTGCAGAGCATATTTGTCTATAAAATCACCTCCTCCACCAAGGACAGCTTGAGTTTTGTAAAACTAAGCTTCTCTGCCCTGCCCATCTGAATGTGGAATTATTGTCTCATTTTAGGATTTGTTGGGTTCATTCACAGAACTATTTTAATTCGCTTTTCTTTATAGCCAGGAAACACCTCATTATGCAACACAGAATTATGCATCTCTGTATTTTCCACTTCATACTCTGGTTTTCTTCCCATTTCTTCCAGAAAGACCCTTGAAAACCTCAGGACTATTAAAATCCACAGTGTTTCTCAAGGCACAGAATGCACTAACGCCCTCTGTTTACTTACTTACCTGCATGTTTACTATTTTCCAAATCATTTAAACATGCATATATTATGTTTAGAGATTCTTACAGCTTTCAAAGCCTATGACTATTAAAATGTTATTCATATATTTTTAAGGCAAATTCAATATTGATATCTAAAATAATGAAAAGCTTCCCATTTATTGAAAGAAGGTTTTTCTCTTCATTTTAATATCCTAAGATTTCCTGCGAAGACACACTGATTATTTAAGAAACAAGCACATTCTTTATTAAAAAGTTGGATTTATCAAGACTAGTGTTATCATTGCTTATAATTTAAAAAAATGTTGCTCAATATTATTTTGCTGTCATAGCTTCATGAAAAAAGTCTCATTTCAAATTACTTCTTAAGGTTTTTAACTGCTGATATAATATTTATGAATTCATAAAGTTCGTTCTCAAATCAAATGAGTAATAAAATTAAATATTTAATACTGGGGAACATTCTAGATTTTATCCACAGAATAAGTCTCTGCTTAACTTCTCAGCACTAGTGATTGAAAGCCATATTAGTTGTACTAAGATCCCTTTTGAATGAGAGATAAGGACTTACTTCATCCAGTCGCCGTTCAGTTCCCAGAGCCAACAGGTTATTGTATTCCCTTTCAAGAATCTGCCTTGCCTGTTGACATCAAATTACAGTTACTATCAATGAAATCACATTTTGATTTAAAAAATCATACAGAATATAGTTACCCTAGAAAACATTCCAGTACCCTGTTTTATTTATGGAGTCTTAAGTTTTTCATCCTCCATGTCTATAAGCTGTTGTAAATTTTAGCTATAAATACAAAGTAGGGCAATTTTCTTTAGTCTATGGACAGTGGAGAAATTGCCTCACATAAATGTCTGAGGTCAAGGGGCTTTGACCTCACTTTGTTACTTTATTCCAATGAAATATTTTAATATATACTTTGAACCATATAAAAACAAAATAAAAAGTAAAGTTAGACTCACTTTTGTATCAAGTCTATGCAGGTAGTTCTCAAACCTGGCCAATGATCATCATTTGGAAAAACTGCAGCTAATTAAGATTCGTGTGTCCTCTCGATATCTGATTTCTTGGGCCTGTGATGTAGACTGCAAGCTTTATTTTAAATTCTAAGGAACTCCAGTGATTCAAATAATTATCCAGCCTTGGGAATCAACGGCATACCCAAAGCTCAGTGGCTGTATAATTCAGACACATAAATAGAAATGACTGCCCCTCGGAGACACAGAGACTAAAGGCCATCTGTCAGGGACATTGTTTTGGGGAATCTGGCCTTCAGGTGGGAGGCTGGACCACATAACTTCTAAACCCCTTTTTGCTTAATTTTATGCTTTTGTTTTGGCTAGAAATCCAGTAGCTTGAAGTTAAAGCCCCAGTGACCTCTTTCAAAGGTTGAGCTAAGTCCCATTAGGAATCGTGAATACATAGCCAACTTTCTTTTTTTCCCTAAAAGTTTACTCTGTCTTTATATAAACTAGGACACAGTGCAACTGCAGAACAGAGAGGCTTGCCTGGGTGTTCTGTGTTGGAATTTGCAGTAATAAAGCTAAGCTGCTGTAGTCAAAGTTCTCATCCAGTGCTATAAGGGAGCCATGCACACCACTTTCAAGAATATTATTCGCATATTCTCGAAGTCCAATTGCTTGTATCCAGCGAATAACTCGATCATTGCTCCAAACCAACACATCTAGGAAAAAATGTGCATCATTTTAGGCTGCAGTATTTTGCATAGGAAACAAAACTACTGGCTGAAATGAACCACAGGTGTCTGGTCAGGCCAGTATTTATGCTGACTTCTTCATCCACTTCCTAACGCACTTGGCCCCCTTGTGTTACATGCATTTACTATTCTAATAACAAATCTTTTCTACTTTTAGCCCAGAAGGAAGTTGTCATTTTAAAATTGTGTTTGTAATCACTGAAATGAGAGCATTTCCATCACATGGAACATAATGGCTTAAAATGTTTCTTGTTTCCATTCTAGAGCTTGAGGGGTCTGGCTGACATTTAAGGTTTTTACCCCTAGATGGGGACATTTCTTATTTGTGTCTTGATACACAGCTCTTCAGTTAGGACAGCAAACTGAGAATCTAACCTGGTTCTTCATCAGAGTGTTTTTAAACTACTCCCTAAGTATTGCATATAGACTAGGAGAAACTGCTTACACCTGAAGCATAAGTCAGAAAACAACAGTAAGATAGAACAGACACTCGATATATTAGTTCTGTCTTTAATATTAAATGGACATATAGTTATAGATTTTTAGGTGGAAAGTCAGTTTCAATCAGCATTTTAAGAATATCATTCCGTTTTCCTCTGGCGTTAAGTTGTGGAGTCAGCTCTCCTGAACATCTGAAATAAATGTGGTGCCTGCTCTGGAAGATTCTAATTTTTTTTTTTATTTTTTACTTTTTTTAAACATCTTTTATTGATTTATAATCATTTTACAATGTTGTGTCAAATTCCATTGTAGAGCACAATTTTTCAGTTATGAATGAACATATATATATTCATTTCTAAATTTTTTTGTTGTTTATTTATTTTGTCTTATTTTTGTCATGGTTTTTAGCAGCTTCACTGTATCTAGATGGGTTCCCCCAGCCCTTTTCTTCTGAATCTTACTTGGCATTCATAAAGTATCTTGAACCTGTGGCTTCTTGTTTCCATTCGTTTTTTTCCCGTAAATCTCCACCAGTATCTTTTCAACTATTGGCTTCTTCCTCTTTCTCTCTTACCTCTCTTTTTGGAATTCCTAGGCATGGAAATTACACCTAAACTAGACTCCTTGTTATGTCCAATGTCTCTAACGGTCTGTTTTGTATCACTCATCCTTTTGCTTCTCTTCCTGCGTCAGGCCAGATGTTTTCAGGTGACCTGTCACTTGGAATGCCAGGCTTATTTATTTCCCTCTTCTCCAGGATTTTGGTTCAAGGCCTTGGCAGCTTTGGCACCTCTAAATTACAATTTTTCCCTACCCTGCTCTGTAAAACAGGGACAAGCAGTAGAGAATACCAGGCTCACCTCTCAACATGTTTCTCTTTACCCCAGGACCATGGCCTCTCAAGGCCTCGGTGTCTCAGTTGCTTTCTACAGCCATCAAACAGCTGCTTACTGATTTACCTAGCTTTTCCATTTGTTCTTGGTTGAAGACTCGTCTGATTTAATGTATTCCATTACAGTCAGAAGTAGACATTCCTCAGAGTAGTCTGTGCTCTTTTTCATCTCTGCCCATCCACTGCGATGGTAAAGCATTTGTATATGAATCTGGAAGCCACATCTACTTCACAGCTCCCTACTTAACTCCTGTTGTGGCTTGAACAATCTTACTTCAAAGAAAGGCTCTAGGTCTTTCTTTGGATTTAGTTCATGAGAAATGTGAAGAAAGACTCAAAATGCCCATCTCCCTTGGTCATATCACTGGATCCTGCTCCAGCCAAAGCAGAATGAATTTCTTCAGGAAGTAGGGTGTTTACTGTCTCCCTCAGAGTTTTGGCTCTTTTGTTCTCCAGGTCTTCAGCAAAGCAAAGGACCTTTACTATGTATGGAAATTGTATATTATATGTATTAAGTGGGTCTCCCTGGGTCAGTTTAAAGTAGATATCTTGCTCTGAGTTTTCATTAGCTTGTCCCACTGAGGTGTTAGACCTCAGAAAATAGGATGTAAGTCAATTAGTATTGTATTTTGGTTATATTAAGTAGCTGCTGATTAGTTCTAACTACTGGTTAGTTCTAACTACTGGTTTTACCACACACTTCAAAAGTTGGGTAACTATGTTTGGCTGATAGTAACAGTTCTCCAATTATTGTACAAAATGCAATATTTTTTAAAAGCTAATGGGACAATAGTTCAATAAAACTGTCCAGTTTTCTTTATGCTAAATGGATTTGTAAATAGGAAGTATCTGCTTTTTTCTAGAGCTGGAAATCTATCTGTATTTTGATAGCCTATGATACATTATGTAGTCACCACATTTCTGTAAATATATGTCTATCAAAAATTCCATTGCCTCACCAGTAGTTATTTGTAAAACAAAAGAAAAACAGTAATACATTTATTTACAAAGTGAAGTATATAAGACACTAATCCCAAATTTCTTCTTTAGAACAACACAGGTTTTTTTTTTTCACTTTGTAAAGCTGATCCCTTTCTATAATCTGTTTCCAAGCAAAATTTATGCCCTAACTTTAAAGCTCTGTAGGGATCCTCTTGACCTAAACAATAAATGGCTAAAGATCAGTGTTGACTGTTTCCTAGCAACAAATTAAATGCTTGTAGACTCTTGATATTCACATGTCTCCTCACAGCAGGAAGTTGTTTATTAAGGTCAAGCTTAATTAACACTTCAGATAATAACAGAGACCCCTAGTCACAGCCAAGAGTTATTCCTGTTAATGTCATCAGGTCTGTTATAGGAAACGGGCTATTTATGATCTCACTCGAGCTACGTAACACATGGAGTTGTCTGCGTATAACCACAGTGAATCTGGTAGGTTTCTCAGAGCTGCATTCCAACTAGCAACTGCCAAATACTAATATAATATTTGACGTAGTGCCAAATGGGTAATTTCTCTCCTTTTCATCTCTCTATGTATGAAGCATTCCATGTGGTGAGACCAAGCACAATAAAATCTAATTCAAAAAACACTTCAAAAAGAAAACGACAAAGGGGTTATCACATGGATAAAATCTATTTATGTGCTACAGTATCTTTTGTTAGATCCAGCACAGACTTCCTTTTGGGGTCTGTCTTTGGCCAAATTTCAATTCAACTGAATAACAGTGGTCTGAAAACAACTTGCAATTTCCTGGGTCCCCAAAATAAAGTGAAATCAAACAACTCAATTTTGATGATGGAAGAACACTTTCTGGCTCCGAAGTAAGGAGTCAAATGAAGTATTAGAAAAAAATCCATTGTGCAACTGTCTACTCTCCAATGAGCCATATATAGAAAAATATTTTTAATCAATCACCTTCACAGGCATTCAAATCCATGCCACTATAACTCATCTACTGGCCAAGAACTACCAAAGATAAAAGTCATTTCTAACAATGTTTATCACAAGTGAAAATTAAAGAAGTCTAAGATAGGTGATCTACGTAAAGAATAAAACACTGCTAAACTTTAATACAGGAAGGAAAGGTAGCATGTAATATATACTATTTTTATATATAAAGTAAGCCCTAAAGGAAATGAAGATGAAACAAAGAGACTAACTTTGAACGATTAATGTACAAACATTTGTTTTGGTTGATGAAATGCTTCTGTATATCAGCTCCTGGGTAGTAGCAAACAGAAACAGAACTTACAAAGAGTTTGTTTTGTTTGTGTGCAAAATTTTCCTTAAAAAATGTGAGCCCTTTTTCTATTAAAAAGTTTAAAGGAACGTAAAAGGATTCATAATTTTTATTGAAAGAAGTCCTGCAGATACCTACACTGAACAATTAAATTTTCCTTCAATGACAACAGTAAGAAAAATAAAGTGGTCTCTTAACAAGTATAGGATTTAACATATTGTTCCTTTTAAACAATTCTTTCCCCTGTATATTAAGGTATTTCTCAACATTTAGAGGGTTAATTATTAAATACAGTCCTTTTCTAATAAGTCTGTAGTAGAGTCTTTTCTTATCAATCAAATCAAACATTTTTGTACAAACGACAGTTGCAGCAGTTAGCAAAGCTTCTGAAATCATTCCTAGCTAAAATTAGTAGTGGGCTATTCTCATTTACAGGGGGAAAATTCCTATGTAATATCTATATAAAATCCCTGTGTAATTTCTATAACTATATTACAAAAATAAAATTTCTGGGCACTGAAATAAAATTCAAATGATATAAACTGAAGAAGGACTGCTATAAATAAATTTTATGCCATGTTTCTCTGAGTCAAAATGAGAATATTCTATTAAAAGTTTGACAAAAATAGCTACGTGGAGGCATCTTTAGGATAAACAGAATGTATAATTAATAGGTTCAGAGGAATAAACATCAATTCAGAAAATCAAGAATATGCCTCAAGTGGAATATTCATCTTATAAATTGGCAATACCCTTTTCCAAGTTTTAATCAAAAAAGTAATGAGAAAGAAATAATGACACTATGCTAGCTGAATACTTATGTTTACTTAGTGACAGTTGTGACACACACAGTATTTTAGGTTCATGAAAGTGAAAACTAAAAACCCCAGAAAAGAAGGCAGTTGATATGAAAGACATATTACCTTTTATTTCATGTTGGCTTGCTTCTCGTCTTCTTTCTAGTTCTTTTCTGTCATAATTCAACCTTTTTAAGCACATAATTCCATACTGTAAACTTGTTCTGTTATAAAAAAAAAAGAAGAGAACACATTGAGTTTACTCAGTAGATGATTAAACAGAGTCAACACTATGCACTACTTCTTCGGGCAGCAGGTTAATAAATTACATTTGTAGTCAAATCCTTTAGTATTGGAGGGAAATAACGATTATAGTTATTCTAAGCATACAATCTTTCTAAAGAGTAAAATATATATACATATATTTTCAAAATAAGAAAACCACAGTCTTAAAAATAATCTTGGATCATGTTGTTCATCCATATGTCTTTGTCTTCCATTAGGCTATTTTGACATTATTTGAAGACAAGTGAACATTGTACTCATTTGAAAAAAAATTAAGGAGTCACTATTATGGGGATAAGAAAGAATTTATAAGAAATAGATACTCTCCTTTAGAGCTGATGAGAAAAATAATATAAAGACA